TTTTTGATATAATGTAACGGCGCAGGCAAGACTACTCGGATCAGTGTCGGCGGTAGTGTCACTCAGAGGCATATGGGAGTGCGTGGGACATCAAACGAGCCTTGATTCGAATAGACACCTATAGGCCTTGTACGAAAGAATATCAAAAATCTATCGAGCTACGGTATGGAGAAGGTGGGGTTTTATATCAGCAGATCTGCCCTCGGCTAGTGCGTGCCCATGTTCGGATCCCTTTCGGATGTTAGTTCAGTGTGTACTCGAACCGTTACAAATCTATTCAGCTCTACCTTTGCCTTCTAGATTAAATGGAGAGGTAAATTGGAGTTTAAAACCTTTTCTATTTAAGAGCTTCTGTAGATCTTTCGTATTTAGCTTATTATTTAATTAGATAAGCTTAATCTACTTTAAATCCTATACTTCAGCTCGTTTAATAAAAGCTTTAACTGGTGTTATAAGCTCTGATCTAGATATAAGAAGATCGACTTCTAGATACTTAGTATAGTAGTTAAGAAAGGTTATATTGTACCTATAGCTCTTATTTATTTTTAGCTTAATAGGCTCTCCTAGATCGTAGTAGATAAGATCGCTAAAATTATTGACTAGAGTTAAGATTAGATCTCTACTTATCTTACTAGTAAATTTACTTTTTAAGCATATCTCGTAATTGCTAAATAAGTTATTAGTCTTAATATTTAATTTAATGCTATCAGTATTTTTATAAAGCTTATTTAAGCTTGTCTTTCTAATATGGCCGAAACGTTGGTATAGTAGAGATATCTAATTATTCTAATTAATAGATTTCGATTAATTGAGCTGTTCTAATAGCTCTAATTGTTCAGATAGATTTGATATATTAGATAATAGATTTAGCTAGTCTAATAGATTAATTAGTTGTACTAAGTTATTAATCTCTATATAGATCTAATTAGTTTAATAGATATCGCTAATTGTGGTAAAGATCGCGATCTTTTGAGCGTATTATCCCTTAGCTAGTGTCTTATTAGAACGAGTAATTAGACTATAGTTCTTAGTAAATTAGAATTCTGCTTCTTTTTAGACTACTTAATAGAGACTTAATAGATTAACATAAAAGTCTGGTATAAGGAGTACTTCTTTTAGCACTACTAATCTGCTGGTGCTAGTGAACGTGATTAGTACTTCTTTTTTGGCTATTACTAGTAGTAGTGTTCCTATATTACTCTATTTCATATAGGTGTTAGATACACTAGTAAGATTCTGGAATAGGGTTCGATCGTAGCAGATATGCGCACTAGCTCCACTATTTAGTATCTACTTAATGGATTTGGTAGATTAGATAGATCTGGTAGTATTGATATTAGCGATATTTTGGTCTACTAATATAATCGTAGATAGAGCTTCTTTTGTTTTAAATAAGCTCTGGTTGGTGCGCTTAGATGGATCTTTTTACTAATATTAATCAACTAGATGCCTATTTCTTCTGCAGTAGCTGCAGTGCTTTAAGCTTCTGTTAGATTTCTGAGTTAATAAGGATATTTCTATATTCTTAGATTAATAAGATCGATAAGATTAATCGAATCTATAATTAGATTGATAGTATAGATTGAATTAATGGGATAGATCGGATCGATGGAATGGATCGGATTGGTGGGATGGATTGGATTAATAAGATTTAATATAGCTCCTTTGGATCGAGCTGTTTAAGCTGCTGGAGCTATTCTTAATAGATCTAAGACGTCTGGATTCGTTAATAATCTAGCTGCATATTATTTTAAGATTAATTTCTTTGTTTGATCTAAAGTCTTGCGTGATCGCAGTAATAAGATAATTAAATTCTAAACTTAAATTGTTGAGTATTAGCGCAGCAATGAATCGATTGGGCAGTTCGATTTTGCAAGCTTTTAAGCTTAAAGTAAGCCTTAATAGCTTTTAAAGATAGGTTTCGACGTTATTTTAGTAGCTTATAAGTGTGGTATTGATTAGATCTTTGCAGATTAAGAAATTAGAGCTGAACTCTTTCTAAGAGTATAGAGTTTCGAGATTGCTCTATAGCTCTACTAGGCTAGTGTACTCCTTTGTCTGAAGTAGTGGCCCGTCTTTAAGACTAAGTCGAAGTATTAATAGAGCTTTGGCTTTTAAGCCTTTAAGCTTCTAATAGCTCTTAGGGTATTTCTCTTGAGTGAGTTGGGCTGGATTAATTAATATAATCTCCCTACAGTCTTGCTGCATAAGTACTAATTTAATCCGTAGTGCCTAGATATTATAGTTAGAGCTGCCTTTAAGTTTTGGTACTTTGAAGATACTATCAGCTATTTTGATCTATTATTCTAGATCGGCTGATAAGCTCGTATATATGCTGATGCTATCGCAGTTACTGTTCTTTCTATGAAGAACTCTAGCTGCTGATTGATATAGATCGATATATTGCAATCAGCTGATCTAGCTTTGGATGAACCTAGTATCTAGAGTTTTTTAGCTTCTTTAGCCGTGGTTTTCTCTTAACCCTTATTATTACCCTAGCTCTTGCTAAGAATCTAGCCTAAATAGTACTAGTTCTTACGTGAACGCTAAGCCTTTTGTAGTAGACTTTGTTAGAACCTTCGAATAAACGCGTAATCCGGGCTCATAACCTGTTGAAATAAGGAGGGTGCTACTTGTTCTATAGCTAGCTTAGAGGTAGAGTCGTCTACTTATCTAGCGATAGACTTAGAGGTAGCGAATCGATAGGTTCTAGGATGAAAGAGAAATAATGCTAGGGGAGAGAGATTGAAGAATTGGATTGATCCGATCTTATCTTGTTATCCGCACTAGTAGTCTGCTCTGTGCAATCTGCTCTGCTTTCTATCTAGTATTCCTATCACTAGTATTTATACTAGCTAGTAGCGATAGATTACGTTGTATACACGTAATCTTTATTTATCTCTTACGCTACTAATATACTCGTGATACACTAGTAGTATGATAGTATAGATCGCTAGGGTATAGCGATCTAGTCGATTGATAGATTGATCTTATTAGAGATTAGCTGAGTAGCTTAGATCTCTGACAGCCTACTCTAGTTATCCTAATAGTAGAACACAAACGGACGTAGTCTCTAATTAATATACTTATTTATAATCTCTATCTAACTATTAGTTTCTTTATAATAGGCGGTAGATAGCTTAACTTTAACGCCTAGAATCTAGCAGAATTTAGACCAGAAACTAGACACAAATTATAGTTCTTAATTAGAGATAATAGTCTCTAGAGTATATCTAAATTAGTATACCTACTAGATAAAGAGTTTAGCTATACCTCTTACATTAATTATCTTATAATAAAGGATAGAGATAGCTTACTTAGACAACTAGTTAATTATAACCATAATCTAATTATATCTAGCTTTATCCTTATAGAATTTCTTAAAGTTAATGTAAAGATATTACATTAGCTAGTTAGAAATTAGAAGAGAGTAAATTAGCCCTAGAACTTAGGTCTATCTCGAATAGGCCTTACAGCAGGCTAGGCAGTTCCGTATATACCTCTTATAGATAGCTTCTATACCTTTCTAGTAGTACTTCTAAGATAGTAGCTAATAAGTTTTCTTAGCACTTAGATAGGCTAATAAGACCTAGTTATAGGCCTCTTAGATTAACTAAGTGTAAGCGATAAAGTCTAGCTACACATAGAGGCGGTTTAAGTAGAGTAACAACCTATTTTCTATCTAATACTTATTAAGAAGAGTACAGCGCTCTTTCTTAAACAACGCGCGGTTTTACTACAACAGAAGCTTAATTAGCTTAAGAGAGTCTAGGGATATAGTCTTCTAAGTAGGCTTAACTACTAGCAGCAAGATAGTCTACTTAGATAGTTATTCTATATACGCCTTAGTAAGTTTAGAGTTAATTTAGTTATTTAGTTAGTACGGTCCTAAAGAACCCGCGAACGTTTATTAATTTATGTAGTTCTTAAGTTCTATATATCCTATTCACGACGGCTAAGAATATTAGCGCGGGCGTTATCCTTACTAGGCGTGTATTAGATACAGAAGTTAAATAAAGTAAGCTATTTAGCCTATCTTACTTATTAAGTATTTAGAACCTTAGTAGTTATAAAGTACTCTAGTAAGTAGTAGTTAGAGTATACTTAAACTTAGGAGTAGACTAAGACTAACTTAGATCTCCACTTATTAAATACTATAATAATAGCATACAACTTCTTATTATATATCTCCTAATTTAGCTCTAATCTAAATAGAACCTTACTAAAGAAAGCTACTAGGCACTATAAGCTATTTAGTTAGTTCTAAAATAGTACTCTAGCTACAACACTATTAGATATATTTATCTCTACCTTAGTATTATACTCTAGGTAATAGTAATATAAGGTAAAGATTACTAGTAGGGCTGCTTTTAACTTATTAAAGATATAGTTATAGTTTAAATCCTATATAAAGAGCTTCGCGGGGCTCTAGAGTGTAATAATTAGTTTAGTAACTTATAAGTATTCTAGAACGAATTACTAATAGAATTCTATAAAGCCTAGAAACGAGGTTACACTAGTAATAGTAGTAGGTTAGACCTAGTTACGGAGGGCTTCTACCTTATTATAATCTACCTCTAGGCCTTTATTAGTAAGAATATACTAAGTACTTTATCTAAGTAATATAGAATTTACTCTTCTTAATTTTAACTTAGAGTTCTACTTACTATAACCTTTTTAGTACTTTACGCATATACTAGATATATTCCGCCTCTAACTTAAAGTAGATAAGAATATTATCTAGATAGGCGATACAGAAGTTATCTAGGTAATTAATCAATATATCGTTTATATATTACTAATAAGTTACTAGACTATTATATAGTGTAAGGGGCTGCGCTCTGGGGAGCAATCGCGAGGTATACAAGAGGTTGTATTCGATGAGGAGCTAAGCTCCCAAGCTACGTAGCTGTCTATATACAAGCTGGTTACCCGAGTAACAATCGGACCGGTGAAGTCTAGGTGCACGAGGCAGCTTCTGGGTCCTGCGGCTGTCGTCTGAACGTCGTTCGGGCGGTGCGCAGAGAATCCGGGTGCTCGAGACAGCACCCGGGTTCTGCGAGTAGGCCGAGATTCCATCGAGGAGCTATCCAAAGGGCGTTCAGCCCGTTACATATAGCCTAAAGGGTAATACCTTAGTCTTATACTTGTAACGGCGCAGGCAAGACTACTCGGATCAGTATCGGCGGTAGTGTCACTCAGAGGCATATGGGAGTGCGTGGGACATCAAACGAGCCTTAATTCGAATAGACACCTATAGGCCTTGTACGAAAGGATATCAAAAGTCTACAGAGCTAGCTA